GAGGTCTCTCAGGGGCCTCATTGGGATCAGAGCATGTGTTGGACGGATATAGGTTGGAGGACCTTCTTAGTGGACACGCTGCAGCAGCTAAATTTACCCAAGATATGGGAATTCTGCGTGATAGAAGATGCTATTTCAGGTACCCGCTGGAAGGATGAGGAGGAGAACGATACGGGGGCTCAACAACAACGGGAAAACGATCGTGTTGCCAAAAGGATTGCTATTCTGTATCATGACGAAACTAACTGGAGGATTAATCTTGGATTGCTGGCTGTGGAAATGAGGGGGGATAGTCAGTGTGTAACACGTTGGCTGACGGGAAAATACAGATGCTTGAATGAAGTTTACAGCCAAACAGTAGCTGCCATGCACAATGCACTGTATTCCGCGTGTAAGCAGTTCCAGATCTACAATCCTGAGGCGGGCCGTGATATTTGGAAATGGGTATATCGGGAGGGGAACACAGAGGCGGACCACGAGACACATGTGGCCAGAGAGAGGCTGATTGCATCAGATGTGCGGTGGGATCTCAATACACTTTCTTCGATTCGTTCTGGTCACTATAGTGTACACGCGGTGAGAGGCTCTTTTGTTGGTGGCAGATGTGAGTTAGGCACATCATGCGGTTGGGTGATTGACATTTTTATCTCTGCTAATTTGCCTCCTGCTTCCCTCCCCCCTGGTCTCTCTTCCAAGCGTTGGCATCTCGGCGTTGCCAGGCGTGCTTTGTGCTCCCCTCCCACTGTATTGTCACCCAGGCGGAACTTGCTGCTTCTGAGAGTGTATTGTCGGGAGTTGTTGATTTGTGCACACATGTATGTGGATAGCTGGCTTTTGTATTTATGACGGAGTGCCGCGGGCGTGCATCGCGTCATGCGCATCGCACCCCGTGAACCACATTGTTCTGTGCCCAAATGGCGTGTGCAGATTTATGCTTATTTTGGCACGAAAATTGCACATGGCATTTTCGCACGTTTAGATTTTGTTTTACAATAGATTTGTTTGGCCAGCGCCGAAGTCCGTCATAATTCATTCTGCCTCGGGATCGTTCCACGGCTTTCTTTAGCAGCTTGATTGGGCAACTTTGTGCCATGGCGGTCGTAATTGTCCGACATATTTGTCGATAGCACACTTCTCTTACAGCTTCGCTGCATAATCTTGCCGCTTTAATCTTTCAGCTTCGCTGCCCCTGTACAGCTTCGCTGTTCGGTTCTCTGTGTCCTGGCCTGCTCTCATGGGAGCTCGAATCGGCCAACGCAGACTCCGCAGACCAGGTTGACGGTTCACCGCTGGCTCCAGTACGGACATGCGCAACAAGAGGACTCGGCGGAATATATTGCGTTCCCAAGTTGTTCTGTGGGATGTCGCTGCGATTTCTGCGAGGTACCTATGTAGAGACTCGTCTAGAAACGTTGCATAGCCGCGGGGATTCCCGCGTATCGGGGTCCTGCAAGTCAAGCGAACCCAAAGGTGGTCCTTTGGAAGGGGCTTCACCTTCGCCTCTGTCGCCGACGACAAGCAGCGCAGACAATCGTCAACGAGGGCGTCGCGCGATTCCCTTGGCACAACCCGAGGGGCATCTTTTTTAAAACGTCCATATAGTTCGTCAGGCATTTACCTGCCCGGAGCAAGTGCTCACCGAATTGCAAGACATTGTGGCGGCGCCCGAGAAAGTCTACTGCCCAGTACACTCGGCGACCTGTTTCGGCCGCTGTGGTCTTAAGTTCTGGCTTTGCGGCCGAGCCGAGCATGGACGTGCTGAGTTCGCCTAGTTGCTCGCCCGTCGGCGCTCCTGCGCGCGTGAAATATTCATTCGTGTCTACGAAGATGCGAATGTTGCCTAGGTGGTGGCGCTCGTCGGATGTCGGCGCATTGCCGCAATGCACATGGTTCTTGAGCGCGCGCCAGATAACTGTACACACGTACTGCTGAAACACTCCTAGGTACAAACAATGCAACGTATCTCAGTGCAACGTTTTCGAGCTGACCCCGAGCTCGTTGCTGAAGAGTGGGCAGCGCCATTGCACAGAGTCAGTTGCGCGGCGCTTCTTGTCAGTATCGGAGCGTCAGAATACAATGTTAATTGGGAACTGTGCGTCTTCAGGTCGGCAATGTCGTGCAATTCCTCTGACGGCTCCAGCCTGTCGCCAGTGCGAAGGTTCAGATCAGGCACGCGGGAGGATGGCGCACGACCGCACAATTTTTTCTTCTTGGAAAACTTAAGCCGCCATCTACCAGGATGGTATTCCGTTGCTCTATTGTGTCCAGGCGCGCGCGGATCTCGCAGGCGCCACATTCCCGCTCGTAAGTATCTGGGCCTAGGCAAGACCAGCTGGCGTCGTTTAAATCGACAGCGTCGAAGTTAAATCGCTGTGACCCTTTGACTGTGCAACAGAAGCAAGGGCGGTGAAAGCTTTGCCAGGTCGCGAGCCCGAAGGACGTGCAAACTTCCATCCAGTCACTTTTTATCTGGGCCAGGAGGAACCTAGCGCATAGGAGCGGGGCACTTGCATGCAGTCGCTGGTACTTGGAGCCGTCAGGCCGCTCACGCCCGTCATGTTGGCGGTCCGAGCGAAGGCCTCGCGCCGCCAGCGCGAACGAGTGCTCGTTGGAAAATGGGGAGCATGGAGCAATGGCGCTTGCGACCGCACTTGCACATGTCCTTCTTGGAGAGCACCGCCAAGAGGTGGCGGTTCTGTTGCTGCAAGGAGTAGCAGAAGGTCCCGACGAGGCTGTCCTGCTTCCCAGCTAGCCTGCGGTGGGTGTACCTGATGCCGTCCTTGTACAGCGCAACAGGAATTACCTGCCTGTCGTCTCCTGGCAACTGGCGGTGCTGGTGCTTCTCGAACGTGTCGGTCCAGTCGGAGATGGTGTCGGGCTCGCCGAGCGGCGCGATGTTGGCCTCGTGCTCCAGCGCCAGCACTTCGTGGGGGGGGGGGGAACCGGCGCTGGCCGCTTCGACCTTACCCCGCCGATGCGCAAGGGAACTTGCACATGGACAAGTTCCACGCTTGATGTCGGGAGCTTATTCGTGAGATGCCTGCTATAATTGCCAGAGGACATCCCTGGCGCCTTCCCCTAAATCTTCAGGCTATGTCCTCGTGCGCCAGCCTTGTGCGCAAGGTGAAAGGCAACGCACGCCGACTTGGCGTCCAGGACACCACGAGCAAACAGTTGCAGCAGGTTCGTCTCTAGGTCCTTGCCCGCCTGCTCTTTTTCGGCATCCTCCGCCGAGCACTCATCATCAGCGTCATCATCTGGTTCGGGGAAATCCCGAGTCGGTGTTGGCGAGCGCTGGCGGCGTTTGGCGGGCATCACGCCCAAAATCGCACAAGCTCGGGCCGATAGCTAGTCAGCATGGCAATGTAAGCACGGTGGCGGCAGGCGCCCGTCATGGTGCAATGCAATGCAAATGCAAATGGAGTGCAAGTGCAAGTGCAGCAATGCAATGCAAAACAGTTGCAAACGCAAGTGCGCTTCTCAACAACAAATGATGGTGATGGTGGGGGGGGACGGGGGGGAGAGGGCAGGGGGAGGGGAGTTGGGAAGGCGGTGGTTGGTCAAGCGGAACAGGAGCAGGAGCCGCAAGCGGCGAGAAACGAGGCAAGAAGGAAGGGTGAGGAGAGGGTGGGTGGGGTGGTCCGCGCAGTCGCCCCAATCGAGGGCAATGGCTTCCAGCATGCCCTCCGCCATGCGCTTGTATCTGCCAGTCGCTTTTCTCCCTCCTCCTCCTCCTTCTCCTCCTCCTCCTCCCCCTCCTCCTCCTCCCTCCTTGTCCTTCTCCTCTTCCTCCTCCTCCTCCTCCGATCTACATGGTCATTCCTCTCCTCCTCCTCTTCCTTTTCTTTCCTTCCTCCTTTGGCCTCCTCCTCCTCCTCCTCCTCCTTTTCCTCGTCCTTCTTATCCTCCCTTCGCTGCTGCCTCCTCCTACTTTCCGTCCTCCTCCTCTTCCTCCTCCTCCTTCTCCTTCTCCCTCTCCTCCTCTGCTGTCCTCCCCGTGTCTATTTCGGCCGAGGGGGGATGCAAACGATCAGCAGGGGTGCCAAAGTTACTGTGCAGAACCTGGCGAAACTCCCCTGATCCCCGACCTGCCCTCCTGATCCTTCCAACCCAGCACCCTTCACCTCCATCAAGCTACCCCTCTTCTTGTTTCCTTTCCCTCCTCGCCGTGTCTGTCATCCCTCAATCCTTCTTTCTTTCTTTCATTGATCAGCACGCAATTTCAATCCCTTGTGCTGTCTTCCTTCTCCAGAAAACAAGTGTCTGACTTGGCGAAGGGCTGTCGACAGCTCTTCGCCGAGTCAGACAATTGATATTTCAAGCGCTTCGAGCTCAAAATTCGGAGATTGCCTTCGACTGTTTTCACAAAAATCTGGTTCCCGAAAGGGTCCTGAAACGATCCCGGTGGGATCCCGGTGGGATCCCGGCTCGTTTTGTGAGGATGTATCAGGCGAAGTCGCCAGGATCCCGGTGGGATCCCGGTGGGATCCCGGTCGGATCCCGGTGGGATCCCGGCAGGATCCCGACAGAATTCGGCGTGTATTTTTCTAGTTTGTTTCGTTATATTTTGTATTTCTGCCTTCGGAATGTACCTCAATTGCGCCAGATGTGTGAACCGAACTGTCGTCCGAGCTTTTTTATCCCGACATGACCGTCTCGCCGCGATCTCCCATGCGACTAATCGCATCTGCGCGACGCTTCGCGAAGCCCTCTCTCTAGAGAGGAACCCTGAATTTGTTCTAGGAAAGGCTGGCCGAGGAGCACTCGAGGATAGGTTTCAGAGGATCTCACATGAAAATTTCTCTTTCCCCCTCGCGTTGGGGACCGAGGGAGACAGAAATCACGAGGAGGAGAAGGGCGGAGGAGGAGGAGGATGAGGAGGGGGTGGAGGAGGAGGAGGAGGAGGAGGAGGAGGAGGAGGTGTGATGGAGGACATTGAGAAGTAGGACGAGGAGAAGGGGCAGGGCGACAGAAAGGCTCCTCAGGTTCACCACCTAGGCTCCCTCGTTGTCGGAGTCCGCGCCGAGCTGGAACATCTTCAGAAGCTGCTCGCGCGCAGGGGCGACCTGGGAGATGCCGTCGCTCATCTCCAAAACCTGCTCGGCGTAGTTCGCGAAGTCTGCCTTCCCGTAGTCAGCCTCGGGCGGGAGGATGGAGAGTCGGGGAGTTACCAGGCGGCGATGCCTCGATCGAGAAAACCTTTAAGCGGGCCTCGAACGGCGGCAAGGCTCTGAGATGGCCCTCGGATGGGCCTCCGAAACACCGATCTCTGAATGGCCTCAGAAGAGGAGGTGAGGGGTCGGATGAGAAGGGCGGACGAGGCAGAGAGGGTGGGGAGGAGGAGGAGGAGGAGGAGGAGGAGGAGGAGGAGGAGGAGGAGGAGGGAGGAGAGGAGGAGGAGGAGAGGAGGAGAGGAGGAGGAAGAGGAGGAGGAGGAGGAGAGGCGGATGATGATGATGACGACCATGAGGAGGAGGAGGAGGAGGAGGAGGAGGAGGAGGAGGAGGAGGAGGAGGAGTAACAAGGCCCAAGGTCCTTCATGATCTCGATCCCCTGCTCGAGCAGTCAGCAGAAGAACTCGTTCTCCTTGGCAGCCTTTGGGGGGAACGCCATCGTCATTGTTTCATGCGGTCGTCCTCTTCCTTTCCTCCTCCTATTTTTTCTTCCTCCCCCTCCTCCTCCTCCTCCTCCTCATCCTCTTCCTCCTGCTTCCCTGGCGTCCGCTCACCCTTCCTCCTCCTCCTCTTCCTCCTCCTCCTCTTCTTCCTCCTGTTCTTTCTCCTCCTTCTGCTCCTCCTGCTCCCGCTCATCCTCCTTCTCGTCCTGCTCCTCCTCTTACCCCCTCTCCTCTCTTCGTCATCGCTCTGATGCTGCTTTCCGCACCCCTCTTCAGATGACGAGGGGCGAGGATCGTGGTTGGCCAGGGGGAAGGCTGCTGGACGCAGACTAGAGGAGTTCAGGAGTGAGAGCTGGGAAAGGAAACGATGAGGCGTAGGAAGCTGTGAGGAGTTGGGCGAGAAAGAGTGAGAGCTCGGAGGACTGGGACGGAGGAAACGAACTGAGGAGATTGAAGATAAGTTTGAAGCCTGACCGTCACCGTCGCCTTGTACTTTTTCTCCAGCTTGCCCTTGAAGTTCTCCATGGAGCCCCAGCCGCCAGTGTTGTTGTCGATCTTGCAAATCAGCTGCTCGGCGTTCAGCTTCTGCATCGAGTACTCGTGCATGAGTCTTCATCTGCTTGTCGAGGGTCTTGTTCGGCGACGCTTTGCCCGTCACCTTCGTCACCTCATCCTTGTTGACGCCCCTGCTCTTGTCCTTATTCTTGCCCTTTTTGCCTTTGCCGCCCTTGCCTTTCTCGCCCTTGCCGTGACCTTTCTTGCCTACGCCCTTGGCCTTGGGCTTGTCGATGGCAGTTGCTCCCTCATCAGCGCTGTGGCCGCCGTCGGAAGCTCCAGCATCAGAAGCTTCACACGCAGATACTCCACTGCCAACTCCACCGTCGCCGTTGTCATCGGACTTGTTCGGCTCGATGTGTATCTTGTCGATGCCTTTCTGGCCAAGCGTCGTCTTCAGCACCTTGGGGGGCGTCTCAGCCGCCTCCTCATCTGCCTGCGGCTGTCGAAGGCGCTTGGGGTCCTTCTTCCCGGTGGTCTTGTCCCTCCAGACCTCGTTCTCCTCTGACATTGTCTGCTTCTCGTCGTCAGCGAACTCGAGGCGGCCAGAATCTTGATCGAGCTCCACGTACGGTGGCCCACGCACGATTCAAGCTTTTGCTCGATTGATGCATCCCTGCACTACTGCAGGGCTCTGGGCCCCTCCTTTGAGCATAAGCATCTTGTCGATGTTCACCATCCTGCCGAACCTGCGATTGGACTTCTTCGATTCCTTCATGTGGCTGCGGGACTGGTTGTGCTCGTCGTAGCGCTTCTTGGCCCACTTCGCCCTGTACTGTTCGGCCGCCAGCCCAGAAAGCGTCATATATTTCTCGTTCTCATCTTTGTTTGCTTGGAGCCAGAGCAAGAAGCGCTTATAGATCGGAGTTTTTGACCTCACGTACCATCCAGTGTTCTTGCATGCCTCGAGCACGGGGTCGGCATCCTCGATAACCACGCCCTCGTCTTCGCTCTCGGCGTCCTCGTTCTTCCAGGTGCCCTTCATCTGGCTGAAGACCTCCATCAACTGCTGGTCCAGCCCTAGGTTCATCATGTCCTTTGCCTGCGGCTGCTGAGCCGTATTCATCTTCATGTCCTTCTCGAGCATCTCCACCATTGCATTTTGAGTCAGCTGTTGTGGACCTCCTGAGGCCCCTGATGATCTGCCCGTGCTCGGCTTCGCGGGCGCTGCTGGCGTGACGATGGCCTCCTTAGAGTCGCTGTGCGCGCTGAGCGGAACGAGGCTGCCCTCGGGATCTGGCGGCGCCTGCGAGGCTCCGTCAGTTGGCACATCGATGGGTGGCGCGATGACACTCTTGGTACTCGGTGTCGGATCGCGGGCAGGAGGCAGGAGTCGGGCAGCGTTCCACAGGCAACAGTCTCATCGGCTGGGGCAGCTGACGGGCCCTCCATCACGACAGCTGGCGGGCTCTTCATCAAAGGTGGCGGGGGTCCGCCCTCCATGCTGATGGGGGGACGGTGGATGGGGGTCAGGCTCGAGCTCGCGGATGAAGCAGCACTTGTTGGCCTTGGCGCGCCATCACCAGGTCCATCATTCGGGGGCGAATCCGCAGTGAGGTCCACCTCGTCCTGGCTGTGAACCTGCTGGCAAAAAAATGCGGAGGCGGAGGAGGAGGAAGATGAGGAGGAAGAGAAGGAGGAGGAGGAGGAGGAGGAGGAGGAGAGCAAGAATAAGTAGGTTGAGCGAGACAGCCGCAACAGCAGCGAAGAGAGAGAGAGAGAGAGAGAGAGCAAGAGCGAGGAGAGTAAAGGCGAGTTGGGCTCATGAGGCCGAAGGCGGGTTGAGGGATGAGAAAGGAGCCGTAGGGTTTGGATGGGGGGTTGGTGGATCGAGGATGTCATCTATATCGTGACCCCCGCTTTGACCCAGGGACGCATCGGAGCCATTTGGAGCTGCGAAACTGCTTCCACTTGCTGCTTCAGCTCGCGCTGCTTCTGCTCCATCTTCTGGATCGCAGCTTGCAGGTCGGCCATGGGATCCCGAATCGGCGTAACCCAATCGTTTGATACTACGACCCTTTCACCCTTGGGCCACAATGCCAGAGGATTTTCCAGGGACGTTAAGGGACGGGGTGGTGGAGGAGTGGGCGACACTACATCGGCTTGGCTGTAGCTCCCTGGACCTGCTCGGGTCACCGCTGGCCATCTCATGCCATATCGTAATTATTTTCCCGAGGGGCCGTTTCCGTTATCGCTTCCATCGTCGTTGTCTCAATCGATGTTATTCCAATCGCTCCAATCGACTGAACGCCTGCTTCCCTAATTTTTTTGTCCGCAGTGCAGAAGGGGCGCACGAAGGCCGAAGCCCCCAGATCCACCCAGTGAAACTTTGGCGGCGGTGGAATCGGCGACGGTTCCGACTCAGAATCAGCCTGGCGCGGCTCAGGAGTTTTGTTGGTCTGTCTCGTGGGGGTCCGAGGTTCTGGGCTCTCCTGGATCTGAGCCCCCTTGTTCGGCCTGGGTTCGCCGGCCGCTGAGGCCGCTGAGGCCTTCGGGTCCGTGGCTTTCGGCTTTCCTGTCTTGGCAGCCTTGGAGGCTGGCTCAGCAGTCGCAGCAGCCGCGGGCCGCTTGAAAACCTCCATCCCCTCTGATGCCCTCCTTGATGCGCTTCACCTCCTCCGCGGATATCTCGCCCTCGGCGTATCGCTTGGCCAAGTCGTTGACCCATGGGATCGCCTCATCCTCGCCGCCCGCGAACCACGCCGAGTTGACGTGGATCACCTGCCTCTGCATAAACTCGCTGTTCATCTCTCGGAGCATGACGAGCCGCTGTCGCTCGGTTCTCTCTGGGGGGCGGTTCCAGCGGCTAGCGACCCAAATATGTTTCTCACGGTTTTCGTATTTCGGCACCTTGCTATTCAGACGGTCCGCCAAATTCGAACCCTTCGGTGGGAATGAGGGTCTAGTGAGTTTCACGGCCCACGGTGGCCGTCCCCGCTCCACCCTTCTCCACGTCCCCATTCCAGGAAGCACCATTTTCGACCACGAGGGACGCAATGCGAGGGGGTGGGGGCGACGGCCAGGAGGAAGAAGTGAACCACACTTGACCCATCCCCACAGAAGCCTTCTTCTCGCTAGTCGGCGGCGGCTCCGTCGCCTGCCATGCCCCCACGGTCACCTTAACTCGATGGGGAGAAGGTCGGAGGGCGAGGACGGAGGAGGAGAGGGGGAGCTGAGGAGGAGCAGAAGGAGGAGGAGGATGAGGATGGGGAGAAGGCCGAGGAGAAGAAGGAGGAGGAGGAGAAGAAGAGGAGGAGTAAGAAGGAGGGGAGGGGAGGGGAGAAGGAGTGGGAGGAGGAGGAGGAGGAGGAGAAGGAGGAGGGGGAAAAGAAGGTGTCGAGGAGAAAGAGGAGGGGAGGAGCCTCCTCCTCCTCCTCCACCTCCTCCTCCTCCCTCTCCCCCTGCCCCTCACCTTCCAAGGAGGAGGAGGAGGAGGAGGAGGAGGAGGAGGAGCAGCAGCAGCAGAAGCGGTCGTCAATCCCAAATGCCTGGGGAACGCTCTTGGGCTCGCAGTCCGTGCCGTCAGCGTTCGTGAAGATCACCTGCATCGCGTCCGTGGGCTTCGCGCCTGCGGTGTCGCAAGCTCCCTTCGATCCATCCTCTCCCACCGTCCTCCCCTCTTAAGGCCCTTCTGCCTTATCCTCCCCCTGTCCTCCCCATTTTTCTTTCCCTATCCTCTTCGTCGTCTCCTCGCCCATGATTTTCATTTACACCTGAAGCCCTACCCTCTGCCTTCCCCGCAGTCCCCTATCTCACCAATCTGGGATGGGCGAGGGCCTCGAGGGGAGATCGAGGAGTGCAGCGGGAGACTCGCGCCATCAGAAGCTAATTCCCCGACGCCCTCGGGGTTATGTCCCTCCCCGCGCCTGTTGGCACGACCATCCTGCCGTACTCCCTCGGGGCGCTCTTGAGCGCCTTGACGGACCTGCGTCAGCTGCGCCTGGTGTCCCTCTCGTACCTGCATGCGTATGTCGTCGCAGTGCATGCTGAAGGCCTCTTGCGGGCCGCGTCCTCAGCTCTGTCCTCAATGCTGGCAGAACTCGGCCTCTTGAGGGCTGCTTCGCAACCGCTAGGCCTCTTCTTGGCCGCGTGTTGGATCGACTTCCTCGTCTCGCACTCTGGGCCTCTCCTCCTTGCCGCCCTCGAGGTCCTCCTGATCCTGATCCTTCTCGAAGACTGCGTGGAAGTTGTCGTCGTTGTCGGAAGTGATCGAATCACGACCCCAGCTCTTCAAGAACCACTTTCTACCAACTCGTCTCATATCTTGGCAATGTACTCCTAATGTCGCGATCCTCAATGCCGTGGTGCGGACCCACTCCTGATGTAGCTTTCCTCCTGGCTTGTATTTTCCCGTAGCCCACGGTGAATCAGTCAGCCTCGTGAGTGGGAGTTCGACCAGTCCCAATATGAGAACGGGAGGTGGGCAACAAATGAGGGACAGGAGAGGAGCAGGATATTGGAGGGATGGTCGTGCTCCCACAAACCTTGGCCAACGCCAGCTTGAGTATGGCACTCTTGCACGAGCACTGCCCGAGCGCCGAGGCGACGGCCTTCAGCAAGGGGATGTGGGCTGAGAGCTTGTCCTGGGGCGCGCTCCTGCGTTGTCTGCCCGCCCGAGATCGGGGGGCCCGACAGGGCCATTTCCCCGGCGCCCCAGGACAGGGCCCAGCAGGGCCCTCCCGCTGACGCGGGCAGACAAAGCGGGGGATGAATGAATGCATGTCTGGACTCCGACGGGATCCCGCCAGGATCCCGCCAGGATCCCGCCAGGATCCCGCCAGGATTCCGCCAGGATCCCGCCAGGATCCCGCCCGGATCCCGCCAGGATCCCGCCAGGATCCCGCCAGGATCCCGCCAGGATCCCGCCAGGATCCTGCGAGAATGCCGTCAGAATACCGGCAGAATACCGCAAGAATGCCACCAGGATACCACCGGATACCACCGGATACCGCCAAGATCCCGTCAGGATCCTATCAGGATCCCGTCAGGATCCCGTCAGGATCCCATCAGGATCCCGTCAGCATCGCGTCAGGATCACATGGGGATATAATTTGTTAAGGCACGGGAACGTTTCTTTGCTGAGCTTGCTGGCGCGCCCCTTCTCGCCGTACCTCACCGCGTTGGGGCCTGTGATGTGCTTCTGCAGAGCCTCTGCGAGCTTCTGCACGTCGCCCTCGTCCGCGTCGTCATCAGAGTTGCTGCCGCTGGCTTTCGTTTGGAGGGCATTCTATTCTGAAACCCTTGGCCCGATATGGCCGCGGCAGCAACAGCATGCGCAGCAAAATGACGATCACGATGACGATGACTCGATCCTAACCCGCGGTGCGCTGATAACACCAATGATAGGCTCTAAGACCTTTCTGCAATAATCCACATCGAAAGCCAATGAACTAACAAGACCGACGCCCCCTTGATCAGGGTCGCATGTGATGCGCATTGATTCCCAACACGCAAATGTACGCTGTACGAAATAAAATGACTCATACAAATAACATAAAGCGACTCATAATTTTCCACCATAATGACTCACAAACGCTTGACAATCATGATAA